ATGGGTTGGCGGAAGGGCAAACAGATGTCACATTGCTCCTGACGCCTACAGTTTGCCTGAAGAAATAAGCAATACCAACGTCGGCATTCTATATTCTGTGTGCACTTGAACAGAATAAACTGCTCTAATACAACTTCAACAACAGCAAAACTGGTGTGCGGGGCGGTTACCGCTCCAGCCAAAGGGTTTCCCCTCAGCGCAGGACCACGTTGTTTGGTGCAGAAGCAAGTGAGGCTCTCATGCCCACCCAGAAGGCAGAGCCATGAGCGCACGTGTCTGACACGCTGCCTAGAACAGCAGTGGTAGCACTAGCCCATGAGATGGAAGGCGGGCTGCCCAGCCCACAGCATAAGTAACGCTGTCCCTCGGGTGTGGGTCTGGCTTGCAGAGTGGCGTGTTCTTTGGCTATTCATCAGCCAAAGGGACCATGTGACTGAGAGACTGAAGACCAGAGACAGGCTGACTGAGACAAGATGCTGCAGACTACAGAACTACATCATGAACATTTTGATACTGACTTGTAATTGATTCACTTCCCTAATAAACCCCCTAATGGTGAATATTGTCCCTGAATTCTACGTGGCCACTGAATGGATTTGAGAGCCCAGCAGAGACAGAGAGGGCTGTGGCACAGGAAAGCAGCCTGGAGGCATTTTTGAAGACCTCACTTGGAGGTGGAGTCTCCTTCCCTGCTATCTAGCCACAGGAGGTCAGACATGGCTTCCAGGACATTTCTGCATTGAGCTATCAATTTTGTTCTAAACGTGTGTTTTATCCTCAAACAGAACATGTTATTCAACACTTAATTATTGAAGGGCAATATTCTGCATCACGTGTAATTTCTCTTCTACTACTTAACAAAAAATGTGTGGTGTGTGTGTGTGTCTTGCAGGTACAGGGATCATCATGAGGGCAAATGACACAGCTAGTGGAGTACAATGTAACAAGAGCTGTATCTGCAGCCCTGGTGGAGCTGTTGGGTGGGAAGTGAACACAAGCTTCCCCCAGCCACTCTGCAGGAGAAAGAAGAGGCTGTCCTGCTCTTGTACAGCAGCCTTAGAAATGCAACATAGGACTGCTATGAGACAGAGTCCACTAGATGGCGGTGGTTTTTTTATATCACCCTGCACTATTCTAATTCTTGTAACTTTTGGGTACATTTCAAAGTATTTCCAAATAAAATTTGTAGTTTAAAAAAATGTTAAGTTCAGCAAGGGCATATGAAGTGCTTTTAACTTTGCTTCCATGAAAACCCCACTTCCTTGGCCAGCCCCAGCAGGAAGCAAAAACACAAGTAACAATTAAAAAAGCCTAACCCACAGTAAATACTCACACTAAACACGTTACATGAAAAAAACTGAACTGCAGAAAATAAACAAAACATCCAGAGAAACCTAAACCTCACGGCATCTCTAAGAAATGAAGAGGTAAGGTCTCAGGGCATCATGCTATATTCAAACTATCAAATCTACAGTGAGATTCAAATGGCTGCTCAGCTTTTTGATATCTGGTCTTCCTGTTACCATTCTAGAAAGGAAAACTAATAAATATGACTCTGGGCTTATTTTCTCATTTGAAGTAATTATCAATGGTAAATTAAAAGCCACGTTTTGTTTCTTTGGCTGATTTTAACATTAGGGTCAAGAGCGAGGGGAGGAAGGAGCAAGAGGAAGAGGAGGAGGAAACAGAAACTCAGTACCATCATGTCCACTGCGATTCGATTCACGGGGAGCCTACAGGTCAGGGTAGAACTGTCCTTGTGGGTTCCCAGACGGTTTGTGGGAGAAGAAAGCCTCACTGTGTGGAGCAGCTGTGGCTTCAACCCGCAGACTCTGATTCAGCACCCTCACCAGCCTCTCAGGAGGAAGAGGAGTGAGAGAAAGCATCTCTCCTCCGCGCTTCCCCATGCCACCGGAAGCACTGCAGGGTTTAAGAGAGCCCAGGGGCTTCGTGGTTCAAGCGCTCAGCTGCGACCCAGAGGATCAGCAGTGGAGCCGCCCTGTGGCTCTGAGAGAAAGCTGTGGAGGCCTACAACTATAAAGATTATAGCTGGGACACCCAGGGTGCAGTGCTACTCTGTTGCTAATACGGTCACAAGAGTGGCAGGGCCCTGATGGCAGAGTTGATTACTCAGGGGGCTGTTAACCACAAGGTCACCACTTTGTGAGAGACAGATGAGGCTTTCTACTCCCGTAAAGCATTATAATCTCAGAAAGCCACGGGGACACTTCTACCTTGACCTAGAGGGTCGCTGTGAGGTGCAATGAGCGCCCTGGCAGTGAGCTTGGTTTGGCTCTAGGAGTGGGAACTTGACAGCAGTATGCTGGGCTTTCTCCATAGGGCCAAGTGTACGTGTGGGATCCCCAGGTGATGCAAACAGCGAACATGTCCAGCTGCTAACATAAAGTTCAGAGGTTCAAATCTACCCAGGGGTGCCTGAAAAGAAAGTGGCCTGGCTACCTACTTCCAAAAATGTCAGCCATTATAAAGCCTATTATCCTAGTTTCCAACAACAGGATTATCTAATATAGTAACAAGAGCAAACAAGAAAAGACTAAATAAATAAACGGGACCCCATAAAAATGAAAACACCTTTGAATCAAAAGCCTTGACCAAAAAGTATGGGGAAACAAGCCACAAACTGAGAGAACAGCCAGCACGACTCTAACTACGGGGTTGCTGTGAGTCAAAACTGAACAGCAACTATTTGTCATTATTGTTGTGTTTCCCTTTGAATGTATACATGCATAATGATTTTCCAATAAACCTGATGTGTGTGGTTACAAAAATAACGAGTGCATTGTAAACTACAGGTCTTAGATGTCCTCATTCAAATGACATCATTAACTAAAAGTATTAGCATGGCAAGAGACATGTACTCTACAATCGCCATGAGAGAAAAGGTTAGAGAGGAAGACATTTGTTAATCAACACTAGGTAAAGGCCTCTAGATGGAACAAATGGTTTATGCTTCGTGCTAATTTACAGGTTGGAAGTCTGAACCCACCTAGCATCAGCCTCAAATAAAGGCCTAGCTGTCTGCTTCCATGAAAATTACTGTCTAAGAAAATCCTCTGGGGACGTTCTATTCTGGAACACAGGTCTTGTCACACCAGAGTCACCTAAATGGCAAGTAGCATCCCTGTTTCCAGATTTTCAAGGTTCTTCAAACCAAATGCAGTACTCTACAAACAACATCAATTTAGACAGATCTTAAGACTCCAAGACCCCAGCCACTAGTCAATTCCAATTCATAGAAGGGCAGAGAAGAACAGCTCCAAAGAGTTTCCGAGGCCATAAATCTTTACAGGAACAAACTGCCTCGTCTTGCTCCCTCACAAGGGGGGGGGGGGGGTGTGATTTAGAACTGCTGACCTTGCAGTTAGCAGCCAGCACATAACTCTCTATATATATCACCAGGTCTCAACCTCAAACTATTTCATACGTAACTAAGGCACTCCTTCACCTTAGCTGATAAAACTATCGACCTTCAAGTTTAATTCAAGTTCCTAAACGAAGTCTTAATCTTTTCTCTTATGTATTTTCACACAGACACACATATCAACAAAATATTCACAGGGAGAACAAGTATAAAATACTACCTGTTTCTGTTAAATAGGGCTTTGATGTATAAATATCCCATGTGAGAAATATAACCCATTAGAGAGGTATGAAATACAATTATGCAACTAAAATTTTAAAAGTTAAGATGACAGTCTTTATGACTATTCCTATCTAGCATGCATTCGTGATTACACAGCACCTGTGTTCTGATGTACTGATGGGATAAAATACCACTGTAATGCACGACCAAGGAAGAAACCAATCACTTATCTTGTAACAAGGTTAATTCTGAAAAGCCAAAGAGCAGGGGCAATCCCAGCCTGTGCTGAGCATGTCCCACTGCCATCTGCTGGAACGCGCACTTGGTGCAGCTCACAAATGCAATGACTGATGTAGCTTAGGGTAAACTACACACAGCAAAAACAAGAAGTGCACAACCTTTGTAAAGTAATGCAGCCAGCAATGTTTTATTTGCACTAAATAGTAAGTAAACTATTATGTTTATATCACAAGTCATTTGAAGCACTTTTTAAGTCTCTACTTCAGATTTAAAAAATGATTAAGCTTCAAAACCTGTTATTTATCTCAAAGACATTACACGAAAGATGGAAATGAAAAATGAGGGCTGGAAACTAAAGAAAACCACATGCTGAGAATACTGTAAAGGAAGAAAAATTGCAATCTTAAGTTTTTCTAGATGAAGCTTTAGTATCTCATCTATATTTTTCAAAGAGTTGTTTCAGTTTTATAAAACTGTAGAGGTTCTTTGAATTGTCCTTTTTCCAAGATAGCTTATTTAGAGTAGCAATAAAATCTTCAGAAGATACAAAAGGGTCCTACAACTTTGTGAATTTGACAAAAACTGCTAACTCTTAAAACTGTAGTTTACTGAGTCCTAACTGCATGTCTTTGATGAAAACCAACTTTTAAAAAACGTACTTCAAAATGTTTTACTATAAAAGAATAATTCCTTTACTGTTTAATGCAAACACAATTTTTTTTTTCACCCCAGCCAGTGTTCAGTTTCTAGAATCTTGCAGAGAGTAAACTGTGAGAAACACCTGCACAAATGATTTGGAAAATGTACCTTTTAATATACAAAAGCACTTTAGAATAAGAAATAAAATGGAAATACACAGTAATGTTTTAATGTTTGTATTTCATATGTTTAAATATATATAGCCAATACAAATAACTAGTAATTAAGCATGCTTAGTATACAGTTTGCAGATTGAAAGATTATGAACAAGTAAAGCTGCAAATTTTACACATTATATATATATATGCTAATACAACTCCAAAACTTTCATGGAAAATAATAGAACGATTCACTTGCTTTGGAACTCTCTATTTTGTTCATATTCATTTTGTTTATATGCATTACATTTTCCAAAAGTTCAATCTAAATATAAAATTAAGTAGGTCAAATAAAATACCTTTCATAAATGGTTTTTAACGTCATTTGGTCTGGAACACCTTCAGTCTCTTCCAAATATAAAATGAGCCATGACGTGCGGTACGGCCACTGTTCAGTAAGATTGATCCAGCTAGCAAGGCGATCCCAGTTGAAACTAATCTGATTGGCTCTCAGCAATCGTCCTTTAAAGGGAAACAAGACATCTTAAAATTAATAGAAGAGTAAAGTACTACTGTGTTCAACACTGAGTACATTCACACACATGAATAATTAACTTCAAGTCTTGGCCTTAAATGTACACTATAAACTGAAGTCTAGTATGTACCTGGCTTCCAAAATCCAGTGTTACACTGTAAAGCCTATAAGGGTTAGACCCCATTCAGTTTCATTCCAAAGCAGTGCCGTGTGTACGTGAGGTCTGCCATGGCCTTATGCATGGTTCTTACCACAGACATAGCCAAAAACCTCTCGGAACATACTATGTGCCAAAATCTGTCTAGATGCTGCCCGTGATCAGACACGAAGAATTCCCAGAAAGGAACACATTAGCTGACCAACTGTCCTTCCAACCATAAAAGGACACACTTTAAAATCAAAAGGTGCATCTAGAGAACCGCTGAGAAAACATGACTCCGCAGCTGGGTCGACATTGTGCAGTGTCAGGTCAGAGCCGGGAAGGGCAAGAAGTCACAATCCTGGGAACATAAGGGGCCAAAAGACCGGCTCTCTACAGTCTGGGGAGCCCACCCTGTCTGTGCCTTGTCTTGTGCAGACAGTAAATCCCTTTGTTTCTCTTGCCCCCCGAGTCTGCTTTGCTTCACTTGATGACAGTAAAGACCAATAAGCTCCCTTCCTCCCAATTGTTCCCAAACTCCAACCACACTGGTCTTCAACTGTTCACCAGGGGTCCTCAAACTTTTTAAACAGGGGACCAGTTCACTGTCCCTCAGACTCATTGGAGGACGGGACTATAGTTTTTAAAAAAACTATGAATTCCTATGCACACTGCACATATCTTATTTTGAAGTGAAAAACAAAAAGGGGCAAAAACACCCAGCAGCCTGGATAAATATCCTCCGCAGGCCGCATGTGGCCTGCGGATGTAGTTTGAGGACCCCTGGCTCACAGTCTCATCTCAGAGCACTTGAACATGCAGTTCCTTCTGCTTAGGATGTTTGCGCCTTCATGCTTATTCAGTCTCAGTCTCACGTCATTTGTATGGTAGTGAGACGATTTTATGTCAACTTGAATATGTACTAAAATGTAGGGGTGAAATCCAACCTGTCAATCAAGTCACAACCTGATGATGGCCCCTTGGAAGTGTGGCCTTCTTATAACGAGGGGAAACTCAGATTCTCCCTCTCTCTCTCCTCCTTCACCTGCCTGTTTGCTGTGAGTCTGTCCCTGACCCTGAGAGCTGGCAGTGCCCTGCTGTTTCCACACAGCTTGGATGCACGCACTCTGCACGCACTGGCCTGGGATCTCCCCGCGTTCTCCATCAGTGCATGGTGGCTGTGGGGGTCGGAAGAGGGACTTGAGGACTACTCTCAGACTTAGCTGGACTGGCCTGGGATGCTGCTTGATGTAACACTCTTTCTTATGCATGGATGAGTGTCCCTGCATTTGTTTCTCTAGTTAACACGGCCTAACAGTTTATTTCTCTGATTCTTTCAACAACGCCCAGCATTGTTCAGGGTGCTGAGGAAATGACAATAAACACCCCAGCCCGTGTGGCATTGCACAGAGGGGGCAGACAGGCAGGAACACAGGAAATGCTGAGATGGGTTGGGCGGTGAGGCCTGGAGCACAGCGACTCCGAGCACAGAGGTCGGTGTGCCAGAGACAGAGCCGCGGATAAGGCAGCAAGGGAGCACGTCACTGAAAAGTGCTAACATTTAAGGAAAGAATTACCGCAGGTAAGAAAACTCTTTACTCGCATGTGCAAAGACTTCTCAGGCATCACAGGAAAAAGCAGCACGGAGTGCAGAGAGGCGCATAGGACACAGTAGCCCGAATGTTCAAGCAACAGCAGTGACAGCACCAGAGGTGGGGGAGGGAGATGAAGTCAGAGCGGCACAGGGGTGGAGAGTTGTAACTGATTGTAGGAGCGGCTTTTATTTGAGTGAGATAGAAACACATTACAAAGTTCTGAACAGAGAAGTACCATGCGGACTTCAATGTTCCAAGGATCCCTGTAGCTGCCACACAGAGGGAGGCGGTGAGGACAGAGGAAGGGAGACCTGTCAGAGGCACTGCAATGTCAATGCAGGGGAGGGAGACAACACGGAGGCAGAGGAAGGCACTCAATTCACTGCCATCGAGTCGGTGTGGACTCACCGTGGCCCTTTAGGATAGGGTAGAAGTGTCTTTGTGAGTTTTCAAGCCTGTAACTGTTAATGAGAGTAGAAAGCCTCGTCTTTCTCCCAAAAAGCGGCTGGTGGTTTTGAACTGCTAACCCTGCGGATCACAGTTCAATCTGTAACCACTGTACCACCAGGTCTCCTTGGATAAAGATAGTTCCCCAGAAATGGCGAGAATGGTCTGATTAGTCTGAACATTGTTAACTGCTGTGGAGTCAGCCAACAGACTGGAGTCAGCTGGTATATAAAATAAAGAGGTCAAAATCGTCTGCACAAAGAGGTAGGAAAAAATGTTGAATTAACTGAGAACAGGAAGACTATGGGTGGAGTAAGTTTGGGAGATGCTGAGTTTGAGAAAGATATCAGACATGATTAGATGTCCAAGGGGACACTGGATGGCTACACCCACTGGAGAGTCTTGGGCATCTCAGTGGTATGTAGGACTTGGAGGGTCGGTGGGATCATCAGGAAAGCTGGTATACATAGAAAAAAGACTGAGCCAGCAAAACCCCACAAAAACCATGGGTAAACGGAGAGGAGGAAAAGCCATCAATGTCCTAGAAGGAAACGGGGCATCTGTGGCCTTACAAAAGCCAAATAAAGAAAGGATTTCAAGACACGGGGAGTGGTCATCATCTTGCCAAATGCTGCTAATGGGTCAAATAAGGTGAAAACTAAGAACTGTCCGCTGGATTTTGAAACACAAAGGTAATTCCATGGCATGGGAGTGACCTTGAAAAGGCAGTTTTGCTTCAGGATGGACAAGAGGTTATTGGAACAGGTCCAAGAGGGGAGAGGGAGGGGCTTTGCTGGGAATCGGGTTGACAGCCAGAGGCAGCGTCTAGACAGGCTTGCAGGCCCCACGAGACTTACAGTACGTGCTACCTGCACCTCCGTTTCACCTCCGATGACATTTCTCATCACACGGCAGGCAGGGTGGTTAGGCTTTCCCCACGGGTGGGGCAGAGTTCACTCCTTCTCTGCTTTTCTCCATGACACTGACACCGAATGTGGCATGTACAGCAGACATTCAGTGCATGTTGTTAGAGCACTGAAGCATTAGTCATGACATACCAGAATAGCTTCCATTGTAAAGCTGAGACTCAAGACTACTGAGACCTGGGACTAACAGAATATAACCCTCTGTGCCATATAGCACCATACCCTGAGCCACACGGTATTAAAGCACACCTCCAGTGCAATCACCACAGCGTTCACACCAGTCAATAGTACCAAGTATCAATCAATGCCAGTCTAAGAAAAGGCAGATCTCACAAACTATATTGCTGGTAATGATAATGACCGTCTCATGACCAACTAGCTGGTAACTAATGGCGGTTAGAAACTACATTATTGTACAAAACAGAATTCCATACAAGGAATTCAGCCACTGAGCTACAGTCTTCAATTTAATGTCCCGGGAGAGGGACATATCTGATCGGAGCACAGGGGAGTAGATGAAGGGGGAGAGTGGAGCACATCCTGGCCCACCAGGCCGTGTGGACGATGTTCCCAATTAGAGAAGCCAGTCCACAGAGAGGACCACATGGCCGGCCCCACTATGAGCCATGACGCCCCTCACTGACCCATAGCCCTACAGGGGACAACACCAGAGGCACAGTGTGGGAATTGCGCCCAAACTGATCCTGCCACTCCAAGACAAAACACTAAGGGGGTGCAAGAGAAGAGCAAGGGAATGGGGCGGCAAGGTCCCCAGGGAA